CCGTAATTCATTGCCTATTTTGAGGCTATAATTGTTATGAAAATATCAGATGGGAGAAGGAGAACTAGTTCGGCAATAAGACTGATGTCCATCCCTAGGCGTGAGGGGTGTGTAAAGAGTCCCTCATCGGTTGGTTGTCTGTTTATGCAGTCAAAGTTTTTCAGTGTTTGCAAGGAGTATTTTATTCGGGTAAAGACTTATTTTCAGCATAGGAATAAGTTTAAGATTTAGAGTATCTTTGTGATTTGAAAACCACTATTCTGTTTTCGAAGACAATTGTTCTAGTATTAAAACATAATTGACCCGAATAGAGATGAAAAGATGCAGATGATTTACACTGGTCCAACTAGTTTGGGATTAAGGCTAGTTGGTTGATTGGTTGATCATTTAGAATATCTTTCAAATGATGGTTTTTGTGAGAAATATAGGAAAAGAATATTATTGAATTGTTGTTGTTTCTACATTATTACATTGAGACCCTATTTATAGAGCCTAGAATACAATCCTTTACCAAGTAGGATACTATTTAGTATTCCTATTTCTATTTCTATTCCTATTCTTATTCTAATAGGATTGTATAAACCTATTTCTATTCTTATAGGATTGTATAAACCTATTCCTATTCTAATAGGATTGTATAAACCTATTCATATTCTAACACTCCCCCTCAAGCTAGTGCATACAATTCATGTACCTAGCTTGTTACAAATGTAATTAACACGCGGACCGATGAGGGGCTTGGCGAGATATCTGCAAGTTGATCACTCGACTTCACAAAATTGACAATCAATCTCAATGTGCTTGGTCTTCTCATGAAATACTGAATTTGATGCATAATGCCGATAAAATACAGAGTGATAAAATTACAGTGTTGGAACTTCCCAAACTAAGCTTGCAAAGACTGTTTCAGACCATAGAGTGACTTACGTAATCAACATACAAGGCTACTAAACTCCCCCTGAGCAACAACATTAGGTGGTTGCTCCATATAGATTTCTTCACAATGCAGCGAACATTGTAAGTGCTCAAAATCTAGTATAAAGTACATGGTTCATGTTGGAATCAATAGACAGTCGATATTAAACAAGTCACCGAAAAAACTGGCCAAAACATGCTCATATGCCGGAGTATTAGATTTGATGGCTAAAAGTGGTCACAATCTAAGAAATAAAATTATATGGGTAGGGTCGGAATGATGTCATGACCCAACTAGAAAATAGAAATTATATAGGATAGTTCGAATCGATGGAACGACCCCATTGAAAAAGAGAAATAATATGGGTAGGGTCGGAATGATGGCACGACCCAGCTGAAAAAGTAAAATTTATACGGGTAGGGTTGGAATGATGGCACAACCCTACGCAAATCAGATTTAAGGAGTCACCGGAAAGACGAATGGAACTATGCAAATCAAATTTGAGAAGTCACTGAAAAGACACATGATGCTATGCAACTCAGATATGACAAAATAGTTCAGAAAAATCCACGGTACTACACAAATTAAATATGAAAAGTAGTCCGGAGAGATGCACAGTGCTACGCAAATCAGATATGCAAAAAAAAAGGTAGTCACCGGAAGGATGTCACGGTGCTACACAAATTATATATGAAAAAGTAGTCACTGGATTGATGGCACAGTGCTACACAAAAAAGTAGACACCAGAATGATGGCACGGTGCTACAAAAATTAAATATGAAAAAGTAGTCACCGGAATGATGGCACGGTGCTACACAAATTAGATATAAGAAAGTAGTCACCGGAATGATGGCACGGTGCTACACAAATTAGATGTGAGAAAATAGTCACCAGATAGATACACGGTGACCCAACTTTTGCTAACATAATCATTGGCCAGACGGGCAGCATATATGGGTGCCACCCGCCGGCAGCGGAAGCTCTTTAATTCTCTACCAAGTTCGCAGAGGCTCTGATATCATGTGAGAAATATAGGAAAAGAATATTATTGAATTGTTGTTGTTTCTACATTATTACATTGAGACCCTATTTATAGAGCCTAGAATACAATCCTTTACCAAGTAGGATACTATTTAGTATTCCTATTTCTATTTCTATTCCTATTCCTATTCTAATAGGATTGTATAAACCTATTCCTATTCTAATAGGATTGTATAAACCTATTCATATTCTAACAGTTTTGAACAAGTTTTTGGTATTCTTACAAGATTTTACCTTTTATTATAAACTAGGTCATTAGCAACTGGACTTTGTCCTTGAGCATCATTTGATTATTTGTCTTTGTTTAATCTACAGGGCTTGTGGTTTGATAGGGACTCTCCTCTTTGGATGTTACCATGCATGACTGATGATCTACTGAACTCATTGCATAAAAAAGGAATTGCTAGTATCCAGCAGCTGTTGGATTGCCCTTCAGAATCACTGCGGGCTATCACTGGGAGTTCAGCTGCCTCGAAACTGTATCAGGTGTTCTAATTAGTTTTGGTAGTTGATGATGTTTTGGATAAATCATCTCTCCTGTCTCACTGAAATTTTTGTTGATATATTGCATCCTAAGAATGTTTGTTTTGAACAAGCGTCAAACATCTATGAGTAGAAGTTACTCCACACGGTTAGAAGGTTAGTGTGAACGGCTCTGTTCTAAAAAAGTTATTGCATAATGCATGTGTACCAGCATATGGAGGGATATTCTTAAATTTATGATCATCTCTTTGACAAAGCTTAATCTATTAGAGAGTACACTTTTATTTACTTATGACTTCAACACACTCCCCTAATGTGGGCCTAATTCTTTTTTATGGGTCATACATGTTGATTTCCTTTTTTGATAATGAGTGATAGTGAGACTCGAACCCAAAACCTTTGTTTGCTCTGATGACATGTTAAATTATATGACCATCTCATTTAAAAGCTTAAAGATGTTAGAGAGAGTGCATTTGTATTTGCTTAATTATATCTTCAACAGAATTGATTGTCTTCAGCAGAACCTTGTTGATGTAGCATTCCCGACTTCTTGTCCCAGCTTGATGTTGAAAGACCAATTTTTGTACATACTTTTTATGAGTTCTAAAATTTCCTTCCTACCTCTCACATCATTCCCGGGGTATTTGTTCCATGTTTTTTGGGCCCTCCCATTTCCTCTCTGGAAACTGAAGGATCTCTTGATTTTATGCTAGGGAGAGCTTGTAATGATACTCTTTATCATTGTATGTGCTAATATTAATCGTCAAAATCCACTTTTGTACTGTGCATGGTAAGTACTAGAAAATCTCTGCTTCTGGTAACACGTATACTAATTGAGATCTGATTTGCGTAATTCTACTTTTTGGATAGGATATGCGGCATTTCCCTCGGATTCAAGTTCGACTTATAATTCAGCCAAAGGAATCTAATGGTGGAAAGATTTTCACCTTGAACATTAGATTGGAAGATGCAAATACTCAGCGAAGAACAGCAAAAGCTTTTATCCCACGATATCCAAAGGTATTTTCATCTGCTAGTTTTGTAATCTGGAGCAAGCCAAACACCTGACATTTTGCTCTTTGCAGGTAAAAGATGAAGCTTGGTGGTTAGTCCTTTGTAATACTTCCACAAGTGAACTGTATGCTCTGAAGAGAGTGTCTTTCTCTGGTCGTTTGCAGACACACATGGATTTGCCATCCACTCTGACCAATTTCCAGGTTGATATCTGATGATATTGTATATACATATATACTATTTGGTATTAAAGTTAACCTGATAGCATTTGGTACACCAGTGAGCTGGTGTTTCCCCCTCTTCTAGATGAATCAATGTCCCAGTAGCAGTCATTTCCTTTTTATGATGGTCTTTGAGAAATTAAACACCTACTCTCCCCCCAGCACACACACACAAACAGACAAAATAAAATTAAAAAGAGAAGTTAATAACAGATCAGCTTTTAGGAGATAAAGGATGACATATTTGTCGTCTTATCTTGGAGTCAAGATTCAGTCCTCCCAGCTACCCACTCCAAGAAGGGGAAAAAAACATGTTCCTTTTGTTCTGTGCATAGAGAAGATGTTATACCTTCTCCGTTGAGACTGAAAAGTTGAGATGTTTCTATTTCAGGGGATAAAGCTCATTCTAGTATCGGATTCTTACATTGGGTTTGAACAAGAACACTCTATTGAAGGATTGGCTTAATCTGGAAGAAACTATATCAACTCCAGATTGTAATGCAATGCTCCCCAAATCGGGATTTGACTTTGTATAGCACAAAGGCTCTCTTTTTCCCAACCAGTTATAGAAGTTGTGTTAATGTCTACATTTGTAACGAGATATTGCTTTGTAATTTTTTTGAGTAGTTGAGCGGCATCCTTCATTTGTCTTTGTCATGTAGATCCAGTTGTATATATGCATCAGGGTACTGTTGAAAGTCTTATATACACACCCTAATCAATATAGAGCTTTCCACTCAATTTCCAAGAACGTTTCCAGCAATCATCCCTTCCTTTTTTCTTATTATGTTACTGCCTAAAGAAAAAAAATTGGAACAAAGTACACAAACAAGTTCCCGGTCTTAAATGGAGTAATAGATTTGTTGCACAGAAAGGTTTGGAACTCATCGCTACAATGATCTGTTATATTCTTGACAAACAAATATATGTTGAGTACTAATTTAACATCATCTTTGTGCTGCATAATCATTTTTCACCATGGTTGCAGCAGAATTTAAACCACAGAACGCATTTTGCATGCCTTAGGACATGTGATTAGCCTAATTTTGCTTGTTCATGTCTGGACAGTCTCTTTGCAGATTAGTGATTAAGACTGACGGTTAAATCCAACTTCACAATTGCTATCATCCTCCGGCGTCCATGTATAACGCCCTTAATATTATTATTATACTGCAGTGAACAATTAGTTTAACCCAAAATATTTAGCTAGCATGGGCTATTCAAAATAACATCTTAACAATAACATTTTAGTTATTCTGTTCTTATACTTTTCTCCGCCAAGTGGATCAGTGATTTCAACCAGCAAATAAGCTTAGACAATGCAATCACTTGAATAACTATTGGTTTTGTTTGTCACAATACCAGCCAGTCAATATTTACAATTACATGTTGGAATTGCTTATTTGTTTACAGTTTTACAAGCTTACTCCCAGTCTGCATCAAAAAATCCTGCATCTTTCATCTCTGAGTAGTATGCGCTGTCCAGAAGCCAATCTTCCTCCTGCAATTGTGACGAAAGAAATGAGAGAATGCTTGCATTGGTGCACAACAAATAACTAATTAGTCGGAGACCTAGTTTGGGTAGATTACCTTGAAAAAATCAGCCAGGAATGTCACATAAAGAAATGGAAGATAAAGCGAGTGATAACAAACTACTGTCAAATTATACAACCTGCAAAATTGAACGATTCACATATGTCAATTGAGTTGAAAAGACTATTGATTTTGGAAGAGTAATAGTAACGGAAGCAAACTTGTCTATACCAAAGTCCAAAGCCGCCACTAATGCCTGCAAGCCCACAGGCAAATAACATTACAGCAGTTGTCACAAACATGACGATGACGTAGTTGTAGAAGGCTGGACGTGCTGCATATAATGGAAAACACTGTATGTTAGATACGAAGAGATGGACCAGGAAAATGGAGGAGGTTAAGTAGGGAAATAAAGCATCAAACTTACGAGGCAGCTTATCTCTCCACTTTGAGAAATGCACAAACAATATGTAGCCATAAGCTGCAGTAAGAAGAAGCTTGTTGGTGCACCAGACACCCCACTTCCCCCTATCAGCTATTTCCATGTCAAGGAAAAGTGGAACACCAAATCCAAATATAAAAATTGCCTGATCAAATGAAAAGACAGGGGAAGGCACATAAGAGTTTCCACATAAAGAAATCAGAAATACGCTTTCTACAATTAATTGGTTAACCTTTATTTGGTTGTTCCGGAAAAGTAGCAACAACTCTGGGGCATAAAACAGTAACTTGGGATAGTACTTGTTTGTTTCCACCTTGTACTTGCGGGTTAGGGAACATACCCAAGTGATTATTAGAAAACAATATACTAAGTTATCTGGACAAATTTCCAAGCCAGGCACGCATGAGTTACTTGTCTCACCCTTTCTCTCTCGCAACAGCATTATTTAGTACGGTAAGTTTCACTAGCATGTTCCATGTCCCAAAAGCACAACAGTCTGGAAGTACTGTATCCAACCTTCGTCAATCATGATGAACTAAAAAAGTCCTGTGTCCCTGGATGGATGTGACTACTCATAGGGTAAAGAGCACACTTATGTTATAAGACTGATTTCTCTTGTTACAAGAGAAACTTCTACAGCAACTGACAAAACAAGGCCTTCCTCATAATCAAAGGAATTGAACAAAGAGTTTTAACACATCACATTGAGATAAATAATTTTATATCTCGTTGGAGCACCAAAGGTTTCCAATGAAATGCAATTACAGATTTAGCATGGCTTGCAAAAGCATAAGATCTTGATCCTATGTTTCTATCCTGGTAGCAAGTATAAAAAACTCAAACCAACCAATCAAGTTATAAAAGATACACAAGAACAGCAGACTCAACAATCTTCTCTCTAAACTACAATATCTTTCTCCTTGAATGTGTGTTTAGCATGTATTATTTAATTTGCCTTCTCACTTAAAGCTGAAAACTACAACACCCAATACTGTGAGAGTTTCCACATTATTTTCAATTAAGCCTAAAAGATGAAAACAAGAGTGGCAGCTGATGCAAAACTACACTATTTCTCCAGCCAGTGCAGAACCTTGCATAAAAAATCAGCTCAAGCAAACTGAGTCAAATATCAAACGCATTACTTGCTTCATCAAGCTTCAGTACAAAAGGAAAAATCATGGAAATTCAGTTGTAGGCGCTGCACACATAGATGAAAGGAGAACATGGTAGCAAGAAAGTGAATATATGAAATGAGAATAAATAGACTTGTGCCAAAGTTTCACCCGAAAAATACACACTAATAAAATCAAACCACATTTCTGGTGCTGAATACTGGGTGTTTCTTTCCTGTAGATTTCAGTTATAGGCGAACTTAGTTTAATGGATTCCTTAAATTGGTTGAACAGGGGGGCAATTTTGTGATATAGTTTATGCTCTGGATGGATAACAAGTTCTCTGTAACTGCGTGCAATTTGTTAGTGCATTCACTAAGTAAACTGCTTTATTAGTCAAAAGACAGAAAGAAACAAGATGAAGAAATCTTCACCTTTAACAGTAAATCCACGCCGACAAAAAGGCCTGAAACAATGAAAGTGCGTGCTAAAGTTTCCAAACAGCTCGCATAATTCTCCTTAAGTAAGAACGCCACTATGCTAATCTCCAGAAATAGCATTGCAGACGTTGCAAACAACGATAAAAGATTCCAAGCCACCTGCTTCCCTGGAGTGCACTGCCATACCTGCTTTGCAAATTTGGATGGATGATGCAATAACACTTCAAGGAACAGCAGTACATAAAGATAATGGTTTATGACTTCGATAGTATTAGGAATACGTAGATCATAACAGCATTGATACAGAAGGTAAGACGCGTTCCAAACTCTGATACAAGCCCCTTTCCTTTTAACAATTTTGCAACAAACAAGCCCCAATAACCACCCAAGAAACGAAAAACATTCAATCACATTCCATATCATAGAGACCGAGGAAAAGATTGACCACACTAATCAAGCACAATTCCTTTTCTGCTGGATTTTGTTCAAGGACAATACCATAATTTCAAAAATCATGACTACAGAAACATATGATGCTAATCAGAGAATTATATATTGATTTCGAGTCTTTTATTACTCCTTCGGACCCAATTTATGTGATGTAGTTTGACCGGGCACGGAGTTTAAAAAATAGGGGAAGACTTTGCAATGTTCCAAAACTAACCATAAAAAAAAGAGCAACTTTCACATATAGCAAATATAAAAATCATATTTGTATGTTATAGTTTGCATAATTGCGCTCCACAACAAATTTTATGTTTGCTATGGAGCTTTTAATTTGTATAATTCGCTACAAACATCCAATTTTATACAAATTGTCCAGTTTTGTATAAATTCAATTTGTATAATAAGATCTGTATTTGTATAATTATAAGTGTATATGACAAAAATATATGTATTTGTATTTGTATATACACTTTTCTCTCACTTTGTACAAATACAAACGCATTTTATACATTTTATACCAAAACGTATAAAATAGTTAATTGTATACCGAAAATGGCTAATTGTATACCGAATCAGATGGTAAAAAAAGGGAAGTTTGCTGCGAATTACAATTAAAATAAACTATGGCTATAGCATTTAATTTGAATTAATAGTTTGCTATTTCATACAATTTTTCCTAAAGTAAATGAATTTTTAAATAGAAAAATACAACTTTATTGACTTTCTTGCCAAATAAGTGGAACCCAACATGGGTAAATTATTGATAGTGTCATTAAATGTTTGTCAAATAAGGAAATATGTCATTCTTTTTGGGATCGACTAAAATGGAAAGTACGTCATATAATTCAGAGGGAGTACGAAGACAACACAAAGGTTAGATTAAGTTAGGGTTCGATCACCATGTTTTTACAGATATCCATATTCTCTAATTATCCTTTCAACTCTATCTTCAGCAAAGACAATGCGAATAATACTCTATTAGCTAGTCAATAGCACCATTTTCTTCTATAAGAGTGGACCTTAACTATTCCAGCACGTATTTGCATCCTTCCGCCAATACATTTACCTAGAAACTCTTCCCATCCCAATGGAACTTTAATGCATTAATTGGGATTGGAAGCATGATAAACCATTGTCTTCATTCCAAATTCATCAACTGCTACTCCCCACCCTTGAGTGGGGAAGTCGTAGCACCAACATGAGTTGATGAGTCAGAAACTAGAGTCAAATCCACAATACTTCTCATTATTTTGGGATGAGAATCGATTAAATATGTCAGGTTACAACCATGGTTTAGCTCATTTACCCAAAATAGTAACAATCACGAAGTGGATTGATTTTGGTAATCAAAAAAGAAAACCTTCTTTCTTTCTAATTTTGAAATACCCAGTCATCCCATGCACCCTCTGCCAACCAATAACTAGAGCTAACGACCCCCAGCTTAAGGAGGACTCCTCTCCATCAGCTCTCCTTAATAGCTCCAGCAGGACAACCAATGTCAACTTTCACAATATTGCCTTAGATCTAACTTTAGGTCTCAATTCCAACATAAATTTGCCTCTCTTTTTTAGGAAAAAATAAGATTCACATATCTGGAAACTACATACAAATACTACTACACAAATCATAAAATATCTAAGAAGTGAACGAATTATCAAGTGTGATATAACATGGAAATAAATACCGTCGAGCTAATGGAAGTGCAAAATAATAAGTACCTGAAGAAAGCACCAACCAAGGTTTAAAAGAACAGCAAACCACAGAAGTCCATAGTATCCAATCATTACAAAAGACCGACGGTGACTGAGCTTCTTAATGTTGCTCCTAGCATGAAACCCTAAGTATAGTACGAACAAAACCGATGGTAATACCAGTGCCGCATCGTGCCAGAACCCATGGCACGCAGTTGCAGAGCTGGACAACCGGAATATGAAGTCATCTCGACCGGCGGTTCCGGCTCCGGTTCCGGTTCGGGCCGGACCTGCTTCGGTGGGAGATGAAGCTTCAGTAATGGAAAATGCTCCACTAAAATTTGTCATTCTTCGAAGACGCCAAAAATCAAAGGCATTGAAAACTTATGGATGAGATCATCGGAACCCTAGTCCGACGTGAAATGGAAGCAATCGGAGGAGGGTAGATCGAAGGAGTAGTTGCGTTGGTTGATGGAGGATGAAATCGGTAATTTGATGGGGAAAATTGACCTGTGAAGATAAAGACAAAAGAATGCCACGTGGAAATGGTCACTTGAGTTGGTTTTTTTTTTTTTTTTTTTTTTACCGTGGTTTCCGGGCGTCGCTTTGCGAACCCGACTAGCTGTACCCACCGGGTCCCGCTGTTTCAAGGCGGATCCACCACGGTTAGTTCCACGGGGCCCTGGAGACGCGGTAAATTTGTAATGCCTCTAGTGGCCCTGCTGGGACTCGAACCGGTGACCTGAAGGACTTTGTCCCAGGCCTTTACCAGCTGAGCTACCCCTCAGGTTACTCCTCTTTAAGTTTCTCCACTATAAGTAATCAGTTGGTGGTATGAGTAATCAGTCTATTTTTTTCACGTGCTTTTATTCAGAAGTAATAGTAGTATTACTTTTTGTAGTATCTAATTTAGGAAACTTCTGGAAAACGTGATGATTTTCGATTCCGTCAATACCAGTATCAACTCTACTAATTAATAAGTAATAATAAATGTATAAGATTCGATATGTCCCATGTGATGATTAAATTGAGTTCAATAAATACATATAAATATAAACTTTAATAGAAAATGAAAAATTAAGTGATTGTTTTATGATTAGAATATATATGTATATATATAAAGAAAATATATGAAAAAACAGTTAAGGAATGTGATTCGAATTATATATTGAAAATTTATCAACATGAAATGTTCACTATGCATGTTATGTGTCTGTCGCATACTTGACATGTACGTCACATACTCACGTATGCATGGTTAGACATGATTGATGTGTGTCGTGATAAATGAGAGTTGGCAAGTTTGGTTGACACGTGTCATATGCATGTGCTTGTATAGTCCATTATGGCTATCAATATAGTATATAATTTTCTTCTGTCATAAGAATGATTCATTGAAATGATGAGTCATTGATATATTTGAGATGGCCAAATACTTGAGAGTTCCTTTATTCAATTTTTCTTCTTCTTGTTATTGAATATCGTGTTCATGTAATTTCTTTTCTTTTTTTTTTGGGATCTAGTGAGTTAGACATAATTCGAAAAGTAGATAAAATCTTTGATGATTCTAGTATTTATGATTGAGTGTCAACAACTTTTGAATGTATATTCTACATCTGAGCAAAATTCGTGTTGGCTAAAGAATTTCTTTCTACTAATTACTCTATAACAATGTTTAGAGATTCTCTATAAGACACGTAGGGTTCTGTTTTCGACGGCATCATGCTTGATCCCGTTTATTGGATCAAATCAATACATTTCAAGAGGAAAAAATGAAATATCAATGTCATTGAGATCATCTCATATTTCTTCAATCGAATCACTTTTCATTTCATCAATCGAATTACTTTTCAAGAAATACGGGCGAGACACACACGTCAACAAAAGAAATCAAGAAATTCAATTGTTTTTATTTTTATTTTGGTAGAAAAAGATTAGTTGCATGCATTAATTAAATAATTACAGTGAGTATATGGCCCCGATCGATGGTTCTAATCTAAAATTACAAAATGAGGTTATTGATATTGTAGGTGACATGCACCACATACCTTAATAGTTAAACTAACCGTTGGTAAGTTACAAAAGATATTTGTGATAAAAAGTGGTGTTTGGTCTATTTGCTTCGACCATTGATTCCACAAAAGGATATATATATATATATATATATATGGACTATCAAAAAGTGTTATGATAGCCAAAGCTTCATTATTTGCTTCATGTTTAGCTAGACTATACGTTACATGATTCTGTTTCCTATAAATGTGAGTGACAATTGAATCACAGAATTATCGGAGCGTGAACATGCAATCATATAAAATATTAAGTAGCATTTTGTGTTAGAATTTTGACAGCAAAGTGATTTCCTCATTTGCATCAATTTTCACTTTTAAGTGAAGATAGGTTCATAAAATACAGACAAAGAAATAGATTTTTTAATTCACCTGTAGTGATTATAGTATATGAAAAATGCATACAGTAACCTAATTTTCAATGACCATCTGATTTTCTAAAAAATTCTCCTATGCCTCCACTATTTGACATATTAATATCGAGCAACTTACAAAAATGATTATAGTTGTAGGGTTATTGAAGTTCAATTGTTATAAGTATGCTATTTACCAAAAATGACTATATTTTATGTATTAATCTCGCTGTATATTTGTATTTTTTTCAAATTTTTATTTATACAATGATACAATTATAATTACAATGCACTAAGTAAGGTAATTTTTTGTTATATATAGTGACGGAATGCCCCCTAATTACGTTTTTAAAACTCTCAACTTCCCATAATTAAATTAAAAACTAATGATTACGTCCCTATCCGCTTGGATTCCAACTAATAATTAATAACTAATATTAAATTAACAACTAATTTTACCTTATGAATACACCTATATCATATAAGAGTACCCATGTTATTGAGTTTATGATGATTTGATTTAGTGGGTATCAATTTGAGTTGTAATTGGAATTAATATTGAGTTTATGATGATTTGATTTAGTGGGTATCAATTTGAGTTGTAATTGGAATTTGAGCATCTTGAAAGTGGACGCCTTAGCTAAATAGTGATATTTTGTGGCTTGTTAAGTAGTCCATATGCATGAAATTGGAAGCTTTTTTTTTATCGCTAAAGAGATTATCATTCCTTGTTAACCACATATGCCATAAGAAATAGGAAATCAAAGTTTCAGCTAATGGGGAGGATTTTGATTGTTTACGAGTTGATTAACGAGACTTGATATTTTCAGTAGATAAGCATGAAAGATTGTTGGTGATAGTGCATAATTTGTCTTCGAAGGCCAATTTGAATTTTTTTTTAAATGGCATTAAAGCATTCAATAAGGATGTGGTTGATATCCTTTAATTAAGTGAAGACCATAAAAGTGGCATCGAGTTTGAATTGGTATTCCTAAGCGGTTTAGGTAGACTTTCGTGGAAAATCTTTGATTCCGTTGAATATATTCAAGAAAACACGATGGATATTAGTATATTTTCTTGATTATGATTATTTTATATAATATTTAGTAAAAAATATATTAAGTTCCATGATTTAAAAATTACCAAATTTTTAATTAGATTATTTATAATTTAGATAAAGAAAATCTTTATGATAATGTTTTATCGATCTTTAAAAAGCATTCGCAAGCTTATTATATTTTTATATTCTATAGCTCATTCCAAAGATAATGTCAAAAAAGTAATCAATTTAATTTGTAGATACTTGAGAAAATTATACTTTCATATTGGAGACACCAAGCCACTCAAAAACTTGGTCCGAAATGGACTCGGCTCCTCTTTATTTTTTTATTTTCTCTAAATTTTTGCTTGAATTTAAGACACATGTGATAAGTTAAATTTAATGACTAAGATTTAATTAATAAAAAAATTATTAATTATAATTTAGATGGTAACTATACTGTATATTTAATTTCAAAAGTTATTGTAATCCCATTATCTCAACAATATATTATATTGTCATAAATATATTGAATTATTTTTTCTATTAATAAAAGTATATGTTTAGATCTAAATATACATGTATTGATCTCCTGTTAAATACTATGTGAAACAAGATTGATTGAGCAAAACTACGAATAAATAATAAATATAAGGAATTTCTCATACTTTAAAAAAAAAATTAAGAACTTTCAAATAACAATAAGTAATTAATATACTTTATCAATGTTCCAAAAAAAACAAAACACAATAATATACATTCTCAAATGTATTTAGTTAGTAAATGTGTTGTTATTCATTAGTTATATACATATACATGTTAATATTTTCATCAAGAAATTAATAACCCAATTATTAAACTTGGAATGGTCAATTATTAATAAATGACAAATATAAGGAATTTCTCATACTTTAAAAATATTTTTAAGAACTTTCAAATAATAAAAAATAATTAATATACTTTATTTATGTTCCAAAAAATACTTTGTTATACATTCTCGAGTGTATCTAGTTGGTAAATGTGTTGTTAATATATATATAGAGAGAGTAATTTTTTATTAAGAAAATAATAACCCAGTTATTAAACCTGAAATAAAGATGATCAACTATTAACAAATGATAAATATAAGAAATTTCTTATACTTTAAAAGTATTTTAAAGAACTTTCAAATAACAATAAATAATTAATATACTTTATTTATGTTCCAAAAAGAACCCATTAATATACATTCTTGAGTGTATTTGGTTAGTAAATGTGTTGTTATTCATCAATAGTTACATACACATGTTAATATTTTCATTAAGAAAATAATAACTCATCTATTTAAACATGGAATAAAGGTGATCGACTATTAAATAGTGATAAATATAAGGAATTTCTCATACTTTAAAAATATATTTAAGAACTTTCAAATAACAATAAATAATTAATATATTTTATTTATGTTCCACAAAAACACATTAATATACATTCTCAAGTGTATTTGGTTAGTAAATGTGTTGTTATTTATGAGTTACACATATACACACATTAATATTTTCATTAAGAAAATAATAATCCAATTATTAAACTTGGAATGAAGGTGGTCAACTATTAATGAATGATAAATATAAGGAATTTCTTATACCTTAAAAATAAATAACAATAAATAATTAATATACTTTTTTATGTTCCAAAAAAACACATTAATATACATTCTCAAGTGTATTTGGTTAGTAAATGTGTTGTTATTCTTGTTACAAAAAAAAAGTGTCTATTTTCATTAAGAAAATAACAACCCAATTGTTAAATTTGTAATAAAGGTGGCCAACTATTAATAAATGATAAATATAAGGAATTTCTAGTTAGTTACGCATATACACATAATATTTTCATTAAGAAATAATAATCCAATTATTAAATTTGTAACAGAGGTGGTCAACTATTAATAAACGATAAATATAAGGAATTTCTCATTAGTTACATATATACACATATTAGTATTTTCATTAAGAAAATAACAACCC